TGAGTGGGCTCTTGCTTATTTGTTTATGTTCGATTGATTCGATGTAGCATGCTAGATGCGTGCTACTTGCTCACACGCCACATCATAAGTCACGCTATTTCGGTGGGTGCCCTGCCTTAGTAGACCCGTTCAAATTAGTGTTTCAATCCTCGTTTAGTTAGTTGTTCTGTTTGTCGTTCGGCGTAATGTTCAAGTTTGTATGAAGCTTAATGGTTCAATCTCCAAGACTCCATTACATAACCGTTAAATAAATCAATATACAGGGTGCTTGGTACATCGATAGGAATATTTCAATGAGTGATTGTTGGAGTCATTTGGAAGCTGTTTGACCATATTGACCCTCATGCAAAGTTTCGCCGTTTTTTGAGATATCACCATTTTTAGATATTTTGAATCCATGTATTTTAACTCATAACTTGGGCTACATATTTTTTGTATCAACTATTTGGTTTTTCTTTCCATATTTTTCCAAAAGAGTGCATATTAGGAATATCGGAAAAAAAATTGGAAAAGGTTAAAGTCAAAAAAACCGTTTGTTTTAGGAACAATTCAAATATTTTCCAAAAATATCTAAAAAAGCTGACATCTCAAAAACGACGAAACTTTGCATAGGGTTAAATGTGGTCAAACAGCTCCCAAATGACCACAACTATCACTCATTGAAAACTTCCTATCGAAATACCAAACACCCTGTAATTTTGAAACGTAAGGTTGTCATCAATGAAGAAAGATCCGATAATTTTATTATGCAGCATCCCTATCCACACATTAAAAGATTCTCTACCATGAGGGCGCCCTTGTTGATTTTATCTTAGATTTTGAAGTCATCAAAAATGGTCGTTATGTCGACTAAACAGTCCATTTCTTAAAAAATTGCACTTGTAACGTAACTACAGATTATTTTGCTTAAAAAGTCAACAGAAGAAACAAAAAATCAAGAAAAACTGTGGCGTGCATGTAAAACACACGTGACACGTGATCAAGTAAAGGCCGGGACACATCTATCATGCATTCTTTGGATCCGACTCGGATCATACAGTCAAGGTCCTTATTCTTGGAACAGGGTAGCAGCGTTCCCAGGGGAACTGAATTTTGAATACCTTCCTTAAATACCTACTAGTCTCTATCCTATTAGACGTTTAATTGATTGATTGTTCGTTATCTGTTGGAATTTTTTTCATTTAACAAGAAATTAGATTTCATTACATGTTTTAACTAAAAGTTGCATGCGGATTAAAACTTTGGAATCATATTCAAAAATTATAGTAATAATTTTGTCTGAGGATCGGAACGTCGAAACGTCGGAATTTCGAAACGTGTTATATATGACGTATTTCAGAATGTCAAAACACAACAAATTATGTTAAAAAAAAAATCCAGGTCCGTATAACAAAAAATTTGGTTGATGAAGGTATTGAAAAACCGAAACGTCGAATTTCTAAAATAATGTCCAGACAAAAGTGCTTCAAGAACGTTATCTTGACTTTTCTCGATCTCTTAAATTAAAGCTTCGAAAAAATAAAAACCCTAATCGCAATTTTCGGAATTTTCCGGTTATTTCCGGAAGTAATGAGGATTTCTCAAATTTTAAAACGACATTTTGTTGGGCATCAAAATGCGCAACTTTTGTTTAATTTAACCACTCTCGTATCCCTAATGGTTACCGATATGCCCATGTTGGCCCTCGAAATTGGGACACCCTGTACAGTTGAGAGATTTTTTTTTTCAGTTGGAACAGTTTATCTCGTCCTCCCTTAAAAAAAATTCTAGTGACACCCCTGCCTGCGATTCCAAGCGAATGGTAGGTGCCTATTAGCCTAATACCTAACCACATAGCAACTGAAAACCACCTTCACTTTGATGTACCGGGTGATTGTCTACTTTGCACGCACACCTATCTCACCTGTTTGAAGAGATACCCAGAAATGTCACATGTGAAAGTTCTAGCTGTTACAGAAAGTTTGCAATGAAGTTAGTTACAAATATACAGGGTGAGTCACAAAAGTGTGGCAAAGCAAAGTTAAACTTTTTTAAATGGAACACCCCATATATTATTGACCCATCGAATTAGCCTTTCAAACCTGATTCCAAATATACTAGATTTCTTTAGGTTTATTTCTAATAGTCCGGGTGAAAATAGGGAAAAAAAAGGGGTGGAATAATTGCATTTTTATGGAAAAAGGTGAAATATAGAGACCACCAGCAAAATATAAATGTAATCATTCAAGTAAAAAATCCATATTATTTTTTCAAAATGGGATCAGAGGCTGGACTATGAGGAATAAGTTCAAAAAACTTATATAGTAAATTTGGAATCAGGTTTGAAAGGCTAATCTAATTGGTCCATAATATACGAGGTGTTTCATATAAAAAAGTATACCTCTGCTTCGCACTTTTATGACAGACCCTGTATACTTGTAACCAACTTCATTGCAAAGTTTCTGATATTACCTAAAACTTTCATATTAGACCTTTCTGGGTATCTCAATCACCCGGTACAATCCCATAGTTTTAGAATTACGTCGTTTTTTCATTTTAATCTACTATGCATAAAAAAATCATATCTCAACCTCTGCAGCCTGCGATTTTGAGCCAAGGCAGGGGGTGTGACCAACTCTTTCCATAATCTGAGAAAGGAGGTGATTCAGCTCAATAATTATAATTTCAAAGTTTCCAAATATAGTACAGCGGATAAGCTAACATATTGTGCACTTTTTGATAAAGGCACCAAATTTGGCACACAGGTAGACGGATGTAATATGAACAAATGGATGTGGTCGATGTGGAGCCATCGACCAACTGCCCCCCGGCGGCCGTGGCCGGCGATTTTCCAAGATTGCCGCCAGTGGAGACCCCGAAAGACAACGGAAATTATATAAAGTTTGCTGCTGAAGGTTTTAGTGAATGTTTATTGATTGTTTTCAATGAAATCATGCCAGATAGTTTGTAAGTTACCTATACAGGGTGGGGCACGAAAAGCTTCTCACCTAGGTTTTCTCAGGTGTTAGGTGATTAATCAAAAACTGCTCGGACACGTCAATTTTTGTTTTTTGGGGAACACATTTTATCGCTATTTCCACCCTCTACCCGCAAAATTTCAAATAGAAAGGGTGTTCGAGTGATACAATGTACTACATATTTCCTAACTTTGACGAGCCGCCATTTTGGCAGGGACTATTTACTCTAACGCAACTCAAAATTTCGGGGATATAATCTTAATAAAACTTTCCATCAAATGACGTATCACTCACTGAAATTTTGGGCGTACCTGTCACCCCCGCTTAGGGGTTGACAAGTACGGGGGTAAAAATACCAATAAAATGGTCGAGCGATTTTCGAATATTCATCTAACATTTGAGAAAACGTGGGTGGGAAGTAATGGGGAAGTTTTTCGTGCCCCGCCCTGTATATACAAGGTGTCCCTCGATGTTTTACCCAGGTGATAACTTTGGAACGCGTCATCCAACATCATTGAAATTTTGAGGATCTGGGTAACTTTTTGTGCCGCTTCTACATGCGTCATCCAATTTTACGTTCGCTTCAGTTTCGGTCAAGTGACGGCAACTCTAGAATCTCAAATGTAACTGATAATATTACAGTAGAGTCGCGCTAGTGTGAACACAAAAAAACCGGTAGTAAATTTTCCTAGTTTATTGATTAAAGTGAGATGTAATTTTTGTCTGAATGGTTCTAGCTGACCATTGGATGGCTACCTACTTTGTCTTGAAAGTTTCTTAGGATTTCTTTGTCCATTAACGCTAATATATGCTCTTTGTTTGCTGGTAATCTTCTAGAATTTTTGACTTCTCATAAGGTCTGCTCTCACAAAAGTCCCTAACAGTTTACAAACTCTCAATAAAAATCGCTCAGCCTAAGTTACTGAACGAGAGCATTGAAAACATGCATGGGCGATTCATTCTGACAGTTCGCAAACTGCCATTCAGAACAGAACCCGGATTCCGAACCCACGATTCAATAGTATCGTCTATCTATATCTTTATAGACTTTTGAACGTGCTCTTGACGCGCTGCCACTTGTGTATTCCACATTAGAGTGAATGCAGTAACGCAATATATCTGTGCATTCCTTGTTTCGAAACATTCGGGGAACCCCAGAATTGGACGGAAACAACCGATGAAAACAACAGACAGGTAGAGGATGAAAATACCAATAAAATGTGTCCCCCAGAAAACAAAAAATAATGTGTCCGAACGATTTTTGATTAATAATCACCTAAAACTTGAGATGAGACCTGAGAAAACCTAAGTGGGAAGTTTTTCGTGCCCCATCCTGCATAATTTAAAAACCATTTGGCATGTTTTCATTCGAAACAATCAATAAACATTCACTAAAACCTTCAGTGGTAAATTGTATCTTACTTCCGTTGACTTTCGGGGTGTCCACTGATGGCCATTTTGAAAAATCGCCGCCACGGCCGCCGGAGGGCAGTTGGCCGATGGCTCCACATCCAAATTTGTTCATATTACATCGGTATACCTCTGTGCCAAATTTGGTGCCTTTATCAAAAAGTGCACGATATGTTGAAATCTCCTAGCTAAGCTGCCGCTAATAGGTGAATAATCATAAAAAGATAGACCGAAGTTTTGTTGAGGCAGTGTAGATACAATCGGCTACCTTTGGCCACTTTGGCTTTGCAAGCTGCTATAATCTTTGGTTTGTTGTCTTCGCACAGGTATAGACAAAGCGAAGTCCAAGGTGACTAAGAGCGCCTTTGGACTTTAAAATTTCATTCAAGGTAAGTGCAAAAGTTCAAGCTGATTTTTATCTTTATTGTATTATCACTTAAAAAATATTTTTTGCCATGTAGTAGATAAGATATTTGCAAAAACCTATGCAATCTAACATAATATTTTCTCCCTATCCTAAAAGGATTGTAATGCGAAAACTCTCCAAAAAAAGAACCTCCTTTCAGACCAAGCTGCGCGCGATCGCCTGGTTATTCGAAACCCATGCGGTATTTATCAACTTATTCTCCTTCTACCTTAGTCAACTTAAGTGTCATAGGAACACCTAAAGTATCTAGTACCAAGTAGTAGAACGGTACCAGTTTGGTTTGGATTACTTACTCGGCGAACGTTAGAATTTTATTTGACTTGGTGAGATCCTAGTATCCTGTGTATAGGTACTTAATTAATTTTTAACAATGTCGAATTTTCTTGGATTAATTACTGTGGTACTTGTTCTATTTGGTAAGTCTGGGTAAAAATTTTTCGGTGAATATTTGCTTTCTAAATGATCGTTTTCATTAGGTACCTACCTATCCGGTTTTTATATTTAAATTTATAGATCATGATGCACATAAAAGCTATGAACCTTCAAATAAGTACATAAAATAATTGGTCATATATTATGATTTATTATATTTTGTATAAAATTAGAAAAAGTATATTTCAATTACTGCTGGCTTTTTGCCTTAACGCGTGAAATCTAGTTATTTATCTCTATAACCTTTAAATTTTGATCTCTGCCCCCTACTATTAGCTACTAGTTTACTTTCCTATGCAATAATATATGCATATCTACTTAGACAATATTTTAAAACAAGGTACCTCTACGTAGAGCAAATAATTAAAATGTGTCAATTGATAATTATTATCTATTTATTGTTATCAGTGTCGAAAATACTGACGAATGAAATGAAATAAGTTTGTGAAAATTTTTTTAGGTGCTGTCAATGCTCAAATATCCAACAGCCTAGATGATCCAAAAAAAATCCTGGAAGATCCAAATGTCAAGGATTTGGAACAGAAATTAAAAGATAACGGAATCTCTTTGCCAGACTTCAATCAAACTTCCGTTGAGACAGAGAAGGCTGAGAAAGTACTTAGAGAAAAATGTAAAAAACAAAATGCTGAGGATGCAGTAGACCTGCTGAAGGTACCTATACCCAGTGAAAATATTTAAAGAATTTGCACATCACCTTCTCATATTTTTTCAACGACGCAACTCGAACTCATACTAACCCCTAGCTAGTTACCCATTTTTTTTTTTTTTTTTCACATTACAATCTGAGTAAAGTTGGGACAGCATGAGAATGTTCTGGAAATCTGAGAGTCACCGCACTACAAAAATATGTGTATTTTCATTTACTTGCTTTTTGTGTGATCGAAGGTCATAGAAGGTTTATTTGAAAAATTATTGAATACAAAATTTTAAATTATAATTATGCATTAAATGGTACCTATTTTTAACATCATTAAATGTTAGATCGCTGAATATTGATATCGGTACCTAATACCTTTCGTTATTCTGATGATGATGGATATACAGTGAGCTTTAAGTATGGAACGTCTCAATCATCCCGGAAACGGCTTGCACGATTTTTATGAATTTTGGTTTGAAAGAGTATCGTAATATGGCCGATAATATGGTTGTCAGATCTTTCGTTTTTCAGAAAATATCAGAAACTTTGTTTTTTTAAATAGATCATCCTGTATATTATGACATTTATGGACTCTGCGGAAAATTCTACATATTTCATGTACACTGTCATATACCTATCTTCGACTGTTTCGGAAATATTGACAGTTGAAAATTGGCTTTTTTCATCTTTGACAGGCTGTGAAACCTAAACGGCTAATTTCACAGCAAGACCGATTTTACATTCTCGTCTGTAGCTTTTCATATGCTATCATTTGACACCAACCTTCTATGAATTCAACCGGAGATTAAATTTAACAGAACTTTTTAATCATGGACGAGATCATGGATTAAATTCAAAGGTGGTGTCAAATGATAGTTTATCAAAAACTAGGATAAGAATGATCAGTTTTGTTATCATCGGTTTAGGTTTTACCTCGGGTTTTACAGTCTGTCAAAGATGCAAAAAAGTCAATTTTCAACTGTCAATATTTCCGAAACCGTTGAAGATAGGTATATGATAATGTAAATGAAATATGTCTAGAATCTTCCGCAGAACCCAGAAATGTCATAATATACAGGGTGATCCTTTTGAAAAAGCAAAGCTTCTGATATTTCCCGAAAAATGAAAAATCTGAAACCATGAAAATCGTGCAAGCCGTTTTCGAGATAATTGAGATGTTCCATACTTAAAAATCACTGTATATTTTTCCCTTGGTTCTTACATACTTAATACATATACGCATTACGCAAGTTCATATATTATCAAAGGATATACAGGATTATTTATTATAACATTTCCGGAATTATATATTCAATTAGCATAATTATTGATGGCAACCAACGAAATTTTCTAAATGTTGCTTTAACGTTTTCTATAGCAAATCTACAAAATATCAAATTGAAAATAAATAATCACTTTCTTTCTACCCTTTGCATTTGCAAATAGTTTAATTAGTTTGGTTCTCTTACTGCTATTTGCACCGCTACAACTTAAGGTCAGCCTTAGTCTTAAGTGGAACTTAAACTACGATTTTGCTTTGCACCGCTGTTTAGGGTCCACCTCAAGTCTAGTTAAGTTAAGCCCCAGATTTTCTCCGCTTAATTGGATTCTAACCTCATTTTTGGGTTTTGTTTTCTTTTTTTGACAGAATTCTGGTTGACTTTGATTATCGGATGATTTTATATTTGTAATATCCTGTAATATCCAAGGTTCCAAGAGCCTTTTCTCCGAAGACTGCATGTTTAAAGCAAAAAAAAAATATATATATATGTTTATTTTCATAGCAAAAACAAGTTTTCCGAAGTTTTTTTTATGGTTGTTGCTGTTATTTAGTTATTTGTTAATGCTTTTATTTTTATGCGTCGGGTAATTTCTACAGAATTTTGCACAAGAATGCCAAAAATATATTCAAAATAATATCCACGTAATATAACTTATGAAAGAAAAGACGAAATTAACGAAAATATTTATATTTTAATCGCAAAGATAGGTTAACGGATAAATTCCTTGCTTGAAATAGGTACATCCTCCTTCATTTCTGCCTTGAAATACGCATTTTTGCGCTGTTGCCAATAGCTTTCAATTCTTAGCTAAGATTTGGTCGGTGCAAAGCAACTCAACCTAAAGGTTCACCTTAAGCTTAGCCTCTACCTAACTTAGTTTGTTTTTAAGGAACACCGGTGCAAATAGCTGTTACTCCTCTTGCATCTCTTGCTTCTGTGCTATTGTTATGTCATTTTCAATTGAAATTATTGCCAGTGAAGATCTTGCGTTCCTTAAATAATTTCCAATCAATTTTAATTTTAATTTTGATCTATCAGCCAGCAGTACGCTTTCCGAATAACTACTCCAAGAACAAGGAATTATAAGGACTATAAAATTTGCCAAATTTTTTATTGCGTGTAACTTTTTATTCTAGATGAAGATATTTTCAGATGGAAAGTTGAGTCTTTCGAAAATTCTTCTGAAATATCGTTAATATGTTTTGAGTAAAGAACCTGTCCTATTTGGAAGGTCATTATACATTATATATATTCAGTAACACTTTCGGTTATTAGGTAGGTATTTCAGTAATTTTTTTATGAAATAACCTACATATAACAGGTAAGTTTCGCTTACATTAAATATACAGGATGTCCGTTTTTCGCGGTCAGCCATTGAGATTGCGGAAACGGTAAGAGATATATGATCGGTTAAATTGCTTAATGAAATGCCAGAATGTTGCAAAAGCGTTTTTATTTTTTCTGAGCTTTTTTGAAGACCTTTTTAAAAAAAATGGCACTTCTTCATCACGGCCACTTTATTTCCTTTCCAAGATGACACTATTGACGTTGCGTCTTAGAGCGCCTGCCTTCAACTACTTTATTATTTTAAATATTGCCTCGCATTTTCAAATTCTTCTTTCCTATCACGAATGTATTGAATTGCCTACTTGTGTGAAATTCAAATAATATAACGTTTATCAACTATTTTTATGACTATTGACCATTCAATGAATGAATCAAATGAAATGTGATGTTAGCCTTGCCATTCAAGTAATCTTCACAAAAGTAATGTCTCCTTGTTGCCATCATTCCTTCATGAAACTCTAGTCGCTTTTCAAACTCAACATCCAGAAAGCCTCTACAGTATTCGCTTTTCAAAAAATAAATCCATTGAAAAAAAATCATAAAAATAAAACCTCAAACATCTTTTATTAGTAGTAGGTACCTACTGTTTAACAGCTGTTTCAATAAGCCCACAATTATCTATCCATATAATGTAACGAAAGGTTTAGGGAATTAGAGAATGTGATAAAGATATCACAAAAAAAAATTGGTGGAAAACGTGAATTAATTGGCATGTTAGGCTGTTTAATTGAAAATTGAAGATGTACTTGAACTATAAGAAAATAGAAGATGTATATGTACTTGAAAAAACACTATATTTCAGACAAGAAAAAAAACTAACTGCATTGATTCTAGGAACAGCAAGAAGCACTCAAACAATGCGTCACCCTCTATGTAAACGGCTCAGACATCCAAAATGAGCTAGAGGAAGCGAAAAAAACAGGATCCATGGATGAAGTTTTCAAAAAATATTGTGGTAAATGGCCTGATGTTTACGGATGTGCGGACAATGCTACAGCTACTATTAGAAGGTGTATGACAAGTCAAGAAGACAAAGCCTTCAACAAAACCTTGGCTATTGTTGAGGAACTGCAAGAATTCATGTGCTTTAAAGATGGAGATAGGTTAGCAAGTAAGCTTATAACTTTCTTTTTTTTAAGTTTATTTATTTTTGTAAAGGTTTTCTTGGAGATCACAACCTGACTGACCCCCAAGAAAAATTCACAGTGCTCATTTTTGTAGCTTTATTTTGTCTACAATTTGTATGTTTTTTATATTTGTTGTTTTATATTTGGGATAGTGGTTCAAAAGAGTCCTAAAAAGGGGCGATTACAAATGTGGGTAGATACCACAAAAATACAAATGTCAAAAAGTTCTTCTTAAATACGTACAGGAATAAAAATAAATGCTGACAAAGAAAGCATTAATACCGCCTATTTTGCGGTTGAACATTTATTTCAGTACTAATTATTGTTTCCCGGAAATCACTGTGATAAACAAACAACACTGTAACACTGCGAAATCTACACCAAAAATCCCCACTAAATGTTATCAATAAAAAAATTCCTGGCTTGAATTTTTTTTAATTTTTTTTTTCAGTGTTTGTAGCTGAAGGTGGAGTGGAATGCATTCAAGAACAACAGGAAGGCATTAAAGAGTGCTTCAACGCAACCGTAGGTTCCAGAATGCCACAAGAAGACGATTTTTCATTAGCAACTTTACCTACTTTTTTGTACACGGAACGTGATTGCGCGTAAGTTTAATTTTGTTAAGTTGTTGTTATAGTATGAAAGGTTAGCGTACTCATATCACAAATTTTCTAGTCGATTGGGTCTATCAATAAAATAATTTATTTTTCAAAAACCTGGTATAGACACTTGGACTTCATACAGTCTACCCAGCCTGTTTTGATGTTTTGAAATGAGTGGAATTATTATATTCCAGATATTTCAATTGCGATAATGCCATCTCCAATAAACTTTTGCGTTTTTCCGAAAAAAATATTTCTTTAGTTGTGTAAATCATATTTTATGTTGTCCTGTATTTGATAATTGGTAACCAGTTTTCATTTCGATTTCACTTTTTTGTTTTGTCATCATCTTGTCAAACCAAAACAATAAATTATTTTATAAAAGTATAAATATCGTTAGGTACAGGTTCTATATTGAAATTAATACCTATCCAAAGTTCTCCGATTTTTCGAAAAGTGTTTTTTTTATTTACCTAAGTACCCTACACTCATAACCACCACACCAATAGATACTATAAAAATATTTTTAGTAATTTTTTTTTTTTTTAATGATTATTAGGGACTTCGACAAAATCCGCACCTGTGTCAACGAGGTCCTAGAGAAATGCCACGATACTACGCCAGCTAATATTGTAGACGCTTCGTTGAAATTTATTAAAAAACAAATGGCTTGTGGAACTGGGGAAGGAATTGCTTTGAAAGTAGAATCCAATGTGGGTGCACAAAAAGTAAATTCAGCACATACCCCTTATTCTAGCTCAATAGCTGTTGTTTTTGGAATTTATTTGTTGCTGAAATTAAATTAGGTAAATTTTCAGTTTTTTTTTTTTCAAATATGTACCTACCTTTCGCATAAAAATCTAAGCTAAGAAATAGATAGCTCTCAACAAAAATAATTTCAACTTGTTATCAAAAGGTAAACAAATTCCGATTAAAAGGTAATTAATTTTTCAATACCAAATAATAATTTAGTTCTTTTTGCTTTATGTATGTGTGGTTATAATAATTTCTGTAAAGGTAATGGTAATGGTAATTGAGTTGGCACTTCGCCAAAATATGTACCTATAGCATGGAGAGATTTAGTATTACTAGCCGAGTATTATAACTAAAAAATGTTTAATATGATTCAACTATTGGATATGTCTACAATAACTTGTTTTTGTAAAATAACATAGATAATAAATCATATTAAAACTGTTTGTTGTGATACTAGAATAAGATTTAGATTTTTTATAATAAATATTCTTTTGTTCTTTTTGAATTTGATTAATTTATTTTGTGCATCATTCATGCTCCTTCCATAGAGTACGGAATTCTAGAAAAATTAATAAAAATCAATAAAAATCACATTTTAGGGAGTACATGATATTCGTAAACGTACAATTCTGCGTTACGACATGTTCCGTTGTTTACCAAATTATCCTATTCTTCTTTATATGATGCGATGAAGATTCTCTTCACTCTTCTTCATCAACCTGTCCATTTACTCCTGGATGTGGGTCTCTCCTAATTGTTCCCATGTTTCTCTATTTTTAGCCAATCTCATCTATTGCTTGCCTGCTACTATCCTTATGTTGTCCTCCCATCTTTTTTGAGGGCTTCCCATGATTCTTGTTGTCTCCCTTGGTCTCCGTTCCAGGATTTCTCGAGTCCATCTGTTGTCATCGTATCTGGAAATGTGGCCATCGCCCTTCGTCTTTTCATCATTGCTACCTCATCGACGATGTCCCTGACTTTCGTTTCGCGTCTTATCTCGGTTTTTCTAATTTTGTCTCTTAGTGATATTCCGAGCATGTTTCTTTCCGTCGCTCTTCGGGTTGTTTTTAATTTTTTAGCGGACTCAACATGCGATAGGAAAGGAAGCAATGTTGGGCAATATTCTTGTGTTTTTCTTTTGTATGCCATACACTCACTGGGCGAGAGTGAGACAACACCAGAATTCTCCCCACCATGGCACGCCCGCACCTCGCAAAACCCCTTGTCAATAAATTATAAACGTGTTGTCAATACAACCAAGGGTGTAGGTGAGTATATTTTATGAATGCGGTGCTCTGTCTAGTTTTAGTTCATGGTTTTAACATGCTTATACTGAGTACGATACTGTATATTTTGACAGAAAGAAGCAGAGGCAGTCAAGTCAAACGTATAAATTTAATTATTGGCTCAGTTCTCACAAAGCTGAGTTTGGAAGAGCCAGCAAGCTGGTACATATTTCTTGATCGTTCGTTAACTTTATCACAGATTTCGCGGGTTCACTAAAACTCCGTTTGACTTCATATAAAATTCACTTTTCACTTATTGAAATGTACACAACAAATCTCGTGTTTAAACTGACTTCAACAACGCTCTTATTTGAAGTCACTCAATACTTATTAGACTACCCTAATAACACAGTAACATCGCAGAAACATTCCAGAAACATCCATCAGGGATAATGAAGACGTCCCTGGGAGGTCCCTATTTTCCTGGGGACATCCCTGGGATGTTGCAGGCAACAGCCGTGTCATCATTTGCGATGTCCTATAAACATCTCTCAGGGATGTTTCTAAGATGACGCGGGATGTACCTAATACATCCGGGGCAGGTGTAAGAAACATCCTCTATATGTTTCTAGTATGACTTTAATAGGTGAATGAATTTTAGGATTATGGATTAAAAATTACCTAATTCAATAATTTTCAATTTTCGTTCTATTTTCTGGAAGTCAGAACTTTTTCCAAAAAAAAAACAAAAATTGAAAATTATAAAATTAAGTAGGCACATCAGTTTCCAATAACATTTTTTATTGAAAAAATAAGGTACATGTATACTTATATTGATTATCTATCAACTAATAATAATCGACGGACAATTTTGCCTAAATAATGTAGTATTTATGCCCCGTCATGTCATCGAAAACCATAGTTTGGCAGTGGCAGCATGTTGTAGTAGGGGAGTTCGGCGTTTTCTTTTTTTGTTGGTGCTCCAATTTCATAAAGGTACCATTATCTAACCAAAACAACCACAGAACCAAAATCCAAAGTTCTTGAAGTACAATTCAACTTGCACACCTAGAATGTAATCAACTATGAAAACAAAAAATAATTATTGGTTATTTTCTCTTACCTAATGAAGAATGAAGTTCGGGTTTCTAGGGGCTATTTATCAGAAAAGTTAGAAATTTCCTAACCGACGCCATATTGAAATTAAATAAACTAAACAATTGATAGTTATGCGACGTTATCTTTCAACAAATAATCTTTCTCACCAACTAATAAGCACTGGTAGGTCGCAGAGATCCTTTCGAACACAAAATGGCACAACTAGGTGTAGCGAAAAACCACAAATTGACAAATCCTCAACACAGCACGACGCCATTACGAAATAAAATTCCGCCCAACAACACAAGCGTAGCGCACAGGACGACCCGTTCCGTTCGACTGATTCTGCCCGTCTGCGCTGGCTGCGGCGCCGACCCGACGTGGTGGCGTGCCCTCCTGTCCTGACCGGTACAAGTACAAATGCCTGAGCACGCGCCTGCGCCATACACTTCGGCTTCACGAATATTCACGATGTTTGAAAGTTGAAAAGAGAGAAGACTTTTATCAATACATATTTTATTTTATTCCAAGTTGTAAGTCGAATGAAAAATTAAATATTGCTGTTGTTACAATACAAAATTAATATTAAGTTCCTTATTATCTATATACATTACAGGTATATTATGGAATTTGAAATTAGTTTGTGTGTGTGATAGAGACATTTTCAGAAATCACACAAAATTGGCAAATTTAATACTGGGTCCTACCGGTCTGAGGTCCTACCTAGTTTTGTAAAATAATGTTAGCCATTTTTTAGCTGTAATAAGTATCTAATTTTGAGAACAAAAAATCTTTTTGTCGATAGATATTTTCGAAAGGATGTTTCTAAAACATTTCAGGACAATCATCCTAGAGATGTTACATTACAAACATCGCAGCGATGTACCATTTATGTCGGAAACATAAGGACCTTAATGGTACATAAATAGGATGTTTCTGGGAGATCGGTGTTATTAGGCTACAAGGCGCGTTTTATAGTCGAAATCGAAATAGAATTCCCAGAAAGGACGTGCTCCGAGATGTAAACAACTAATTTCCTAGAATACTTGTCGGGTTGTCGATGCATTTTCGTAGCACAGCCTCCAAGAAGCTGTCAAGATACCCTTCTCTCCTTTTCGTCTATACCTCCACTCAGATCCAAAATGATTCCATCTATTCATTTGCCTAACAACGCTATGTCTGTCGTAAGTGGACTGCGACCTGGACGCAACGTCTTAGACCGCTCGGCCTTCTTGACTTCCCAGATTTACTACTCCATGTTTGCGTGGCTCTTCTTCCCTTGGACTGACGTCATGCATGGATACTAGAAGAATGGCTGCCTGTTTCCTGTTGACTGCCATGCTGCCACTGTCTTTTCTGCGTCTTCGTGGATGGTCGCAGCACCCGTAGCACTCCTCTTTATGACTTTGGCCTTCTAGGTCCGCAGTAGTTGAAGTCCACCAATCTTCCTGTTGCTGATCTTTCCTTATTTGCTTGCCACATTTTTCTTTTCTACATTTTGTTGATCTATCCCCGGCTTCCCTAATGTCGAAAGATGATTCGAGGTCGAAGTCACTCTCTTCCAGTTGATCATTTCCCTGATTTCCCAGCTATACGGGACTCCGTTCTTAATCCGCAGCAAATCGAAAGCTTCTAACAGGAACTCTTTCTCGCTGATAAACTCTGAAGCAGTTCTTGTCTTGATCTGGGCATGCTAGGCAATAAAAGGCATCTGCGTTATTAGAAAGTCAACAAAACCTATGTCTGCGGGAAAAATCGTACCATTGAAAGTTCTCAATCAAGGTTGATCATCCGAAGAAAAGCGAGATCTCGTTGTACTCTACAGTGCTGTTTGCAATGTCCTCTTCTTCCGCAGCGGTTACATTTGATGCTCTTGTTCAAGTTACCCATTGAAGGCTGAGAGACATTAGAAAGAAAACTAGTAGATCTCAACCGTACTCTACAATCACACTTAAAATATCCTCTTTTTTCGCAGCGGTAACACATAGTGCTCCCTTTCAAGTTCTCCAGTTTGATTCTGATAACCAGCCTTTGGTTTCTCCCACGACTCTCATTGGTTCTCTTTTATCTTGTATGGACACAGCTCTGATCTTTGGCTTTTGGTATATGCGGCTTTCATTTCTACGGCTTTAATCAAGGCTTCGCTGCTACTTGATTGTTTCCAGATGTTCTCGCATTCTGCTGCTGCTTCCGGTTAGGCCAAATCAACAAGCGCACCATAGTTTTGTTAGGAAGCAGGCGGAAGAGTCTCTGGCGGGACCACGCAATGCTACAGTCAAGCTTCTGGCCATGTCATAGAAGCTTTCAACCATTAACCATTGCAATAGACCTATCTATTTTACCAGACAAAGAGGTAACAGTACGGAAGCTTCATTAGATAAAAAAAAGACACAAACGCTCATTGCGCAAGACGAGGCAAAACGTACCAAATTATATTAGACTTACGTATAGCAATCTGTCCTTCTTATTTGCACGGGATAAAAATGGAAGGAGAAAAACCGCGTGTTGTGCAACGTGCAACGTATTTGTCATGAAGAAGAAGAACAACTTTTGAATGTCACTTGTCAAGCTATGTCAAGCTGAATATTGACCGTACTTTTATTCTTGTCAGACCATGGGCAATGAACAAGGACATCAAGGAGATGCCCAGCGTGCAAAACGAGCCCCTCACACCTGTACTAGTTAGCCAATGAAAAGGCATTGTCTCGTGTTGCGCGCGCATACTAGTTAAAAATAGATAGGTCTTTTGGTGATCTATAACTTTTTTAAGAAGAAATTTTTAAAAAAGTTGACCGTTTTCGAGATATTGATAAACGCATTCCTGACCTTTGACCCTCCGTAACGGCCCAAATAATCACCGAATCGATGGGAAACTTTCACCAATTTTTCAGACCCATAACAACAACTTGTATGCAAAATTTCACCGTTAGGTCCCTTTAACTTATTGGTCCAAATCTGGAGCATAGGGCTTTTGGAATGGGTGTTTATATCGTTGGAGCAATACGAACCGAGATAATCGCAAATAAACGTGTGACCTTTGATCTGCAATAACTAAAGAACCCTTGGCCATATTTATTGTGTCTTTTGGGACAATTATTAGAACGTCAAAATGAAGGTGTATACCAAATTTCAGCTTCTTACCTCAAAATTGGTAGGTAAAGACACAACGTGACTGGACTAG